TCTCACCAATGGGAGAAGAGCTTGCCCCATGGCACAATCACCACTTGGGATGAATGCAAGAAGGCCTTTCTTGCTAATTTTTCTCCACCGGTCGCACAGCCAAGCTTAGAGGAGAGATATCCAGCTTCATCCAGCGAAACAATGAGACATTCGCAGAGGCTTGGGAGAGGTTCAAAGGGTACACAAGTCAGTGCCCACACCATGGATTCAACAATGAATCACTACTCTCCACTCTTTATAGAGGATGCTTGCCTAGGTATAGGGAGATGCTAGACACAGCTAGCAATGGGAACTTCCTCAACCAGGATGTAGATGATGGCTGGCAACTTGTGGAGAACATAGCTAACTCAAATGGAAGCTATGGAGAAGAGTATGATCGCACCAACCGGAGCTCGACCCACCACTCGATCGAGTCAGACGAAAAGTTGAGAAAAGATGTTAAGGCATTGAATGAGAAGTTGGATAAGCTGATCCTAGCTCAGTCCACAATGAAGAAAGTCAACTTTGTGTCTGCTGAGGAGATGGAACCAGTCCAAGAAGGGGAGGATACACAATTTGCTGAGGTGTGCTACATGAGCAATGGGCAAGGAGGTTACAACAAAGGATACTATAATTACAAGTCCAACCCTGCCATGTCATACCGCAACACTGATGTTGCTAACCCTCAGGACCAAGTATATCCTCAACAACAAGCAGCTCGATCGAGTCAGGTGCCACAACATGGGTATGGTCAAAAGAACAATTACCAAGGACCACAAGGCACTTTCCCTGGACAACAAATGAATATCCCACCAGGCTTCCCCACCAACCGCCCCAGCCTGCACCTTCACAAGAGAATGAGCTCAAGGCAATGCTAAAGCAACTACTTCAAGGGCAAGCTGATGGGGTAGTGGACACAAGCAAGAAGCTAGCTGAAATAAACTCTAAGATCGAGAACCTCAACACAAGGGTTTACTCTCTGGAGAATCATGCTTCTTCTGTTGCTGCTGCTACAAAGCAAGGACAACTACCTGGTAAAGCTATTCAGAACCCCAAGGAACAGTGCAAGGTCATCTTCACTCAAGAAGGACTTGTTGAAGAAGAGGATCAAGAAAGGGTCATTGAAGATTTTTGTTTACTGCTGAATGATGAAGAGATTGTTGCTGCTGAGGCTCCTGGAGTCCAGATTGATCAACCAGAAGTGCATGCACCTACTGTGGCCATTCACACTTCACCAGTTGAGCTCGCACGACAAGCTCGATCGGCAGCTCGATCGAGTCCAACTCTAGCTCGATCGAGTCCGACCTCTTCTGTCCGAAGCCTGTTTTGCTTGATCCTTACCAACCGGTTGCCGCTTCCTCGTCTCGCCTACTTAGTCAAGGTCACAAGGAAGTGATTCACAAGTTCAGAAGAGATCTCAGTGGGATTGGAATTGAGTTGCCTCCTATGGATAGCATGAGTGAGGCATTTGATCAAATGCAAATGGTCAAGGATGTTCTAGCCAACAGTGATAAAGTTTCAGAGGTCCTACAAGAGTCTACTCATCAGTTCAACCTGCTTACTTCACCCACCTTCCTACCAAAGGTCAAGGATCAAGGGAAATTCACTCTCCCTTGCACACTTGGGCATCTTGAGATTGACAATGCCTTAGTGGATTCTGGAGCAAGCATCAATCTGATCTCTCTCTCCATGGCAGAGAAGCTAGGCATAGCTGGAGCCTTGCAGCGCCCTACTACTTCAATCATGTTTGGAGATGCAACTTCTAAGTCTCCTCTTGGAGTGTTCAAGAACTATCACTTGAAAATTGGAGAATGCATCATCCAAACTGATCTCACTGTGATGGAAATGGAAGAAGAGAAGGATTTGCCTTGTTATTGGGAACCCCTTTCCTTAGTACAGTTGGCGCTTCAATTGACTTTCACAAGCAAGAAGTGATCCTTCACAAGGTGAATAGTTTGGTGTCATATCGCTTGCAGCCTAGAGGTTCAGACTTTTGTGCCACAATTGACAGTACCAATCTCAGTTCTAAGAGTCATGGAGCTACAAAGGTTGTGAAGGAAAGGGTTGACAAGGAACCAAGAGTTGGGAAGGATAAGGATGAGAGAGGACCAAGGATTGAGAAGCCACGTCTTGAGAGGGCTAGAGTTGAGAAACCACGATCTGATAGGCCAAGAGCTGAGCGACTTGTTCAAGCCCCTTGTGTGCTTGATGAAGAGAGCCTTCAAGCTTTGTTTGATGAGCCACTAGGAAGGGCTCTACAAGAAGGGGAGGATGCAGCCTCTAAGGCAAGACCAGGAGATAAAAGAAAGGATCCACCAGCTCAGGCCCCTTCAGTCAAGCCATCTCAGCTCACAATGACTTTGTTCCCCACCAAGTTTGAAAATGGGAAGATTGAGTACAAGATAAGGTACAAGGGGAGATCAAGGCCATTCTCTAGAGCCAAGGCCTTGGTGACTTCAGAACAGTCCAGGGACCCAACCAAGCTAAAGGAGCTTCTGTCTCAAGTCCTCACTATCACCCTTGATGGTGGGACTAGCTCAACCAATGCCTAAGAAGGTAAAGGTCAAGCTATGGGACCTTAAACAAGCTCACTTGGGAGGAAGTCCCATGTTTATCCTTGTACATACTCTATTTATGCAATTTCTATCTATCTTTATGTTTTTAACCTTTCAATAAGTTAAGTTTAGGTGTCAAGGAGCCAGCTCGACCGACAGCTCGATCGAGCTAGAAACCAGGGCAACTCGATCGAGCTACACAACTCGACCAAGGTAAGTTTTTGAATTTCAAATTCATAACCGTTTTCTTGGTCAAGGGAGTGGGTCCCACAAGCTGATTTTGGTCCCCCACTACCCTAATTGATCAGAGAATCCCTAGTTTCTTGTTCCCTCTTTATTTCATCTTTTAATCTCAACCACACATCTCAAACAACTCTCTTCCCCATAACTCGATCGAATCCACTTCCTCTCTCCCACACTCTTAAATTTCTGAAATCATCCTCTCTCTCTTCACCACAAAAATCGATTTCAATCTCTCTCTAAGTTTTTGCGATTTCATTGTTCATCTCTTGTTTTGCTTAGTTCTAGTTTACTGCTCTTCAATTCCATCATTCAAGCAAGGTATGAACCCTAAACCCTTGATTCCTTCATCTCGATTCCTTTGCTTGTTTCTCTTGATTTTTGATTGCATGTGTCCCTTGTGGACTTGTTCTTGAGAATTGCTTTCATATTTCGCTCTGCTTGTAACTTGTTAGTTTTGCTCACCTCACCTCTGTTTTGCCTTTAAACTTGTTGCATGTGCTTGAAAGGTTGAATTTGAGTTTGGTAATGGTTAGGTTGCTATGTTTTCACTAGAATTGCTCATTGTTCCATTTACTAGTTGTTCTTGGTTCAATTTGATTGATTAGCATCCTTTCCAGCTCTTAATACTTGAATTAGGTTTGGTTATACTCTGTTTTCACCCAACTCGATCGAGTTTGTCACTCGAGTTTTTTGACTCGATCGAGCTGAGTGTCGAGTTGACCAAACCGATCATTACAACTCTAATTCTTTGAATTTTGATGCATTTCAGGACCAATCTAAGATGTTGAGAGGTGAAGGAAGCAAGCAGCGTTCACAAGGATGGAGATGATAAGAGGAGCAAGGAGGATACTCAAAACACAAACCAAGGAGGACATAGAAGAGGTTGAGAGGGTGAGGGAGGAAAGGAGAACCAAAAGAAGGAATGATCCTTCAGCAGTGAGAGCGAAGCAAGGAGAGTTTGAAATTGGAGTGAACATCCCAATGAGGAGAATGATGACTCCCAAGTGAAGAAGAGGGTGAAGAGATCAATCAAGAGATTGAGGAGAGTGAGCATGAGGGCAATGAGAATGTGCCCATGGAAGAGGAGAGTCAAGGAAGAAGAGGATGAGCTCCCCATGTACCAAGAGCACTAATGCTCTCTTCTCCATGGACTTCATGGACACCAAGTACCCACATGTTGACACATGAAGGCCCTTGGAATCTTTGAAGATGTGGAGTTGGTCCTCAAGAACATGCACTTGGCCAAGCTCTTCTCTTACCACATGGAATCCTACAAGGAGCTCACTTGCGAGTTCTAGCTTCAATGAGGTACCACATGTATGAGGAGAAGATAGAGCTGATTTGGACCAAGGATTGGGATGGATCACGTTCTTGGCTAAGGGAGAGAAGAGAATGGTGACCTTTAGGCAGCTGGAGATCTTGTTTGGGTTCAACTATGGAGAGGGAACCAAGTGGAACTTCAAGGAAAAGGAACTCCAAAGGGTTTGGGCTACAATCGCTGATGGAGTGTACTCTTCCTCAAGGTCCAAGGCAGCTCAGATCAGGAGCCCAGTCTTGAGATATGTGCACAAGGCACTTGCCAACACCTTCTTTGCAAGGAAGGCAACCGGGACAATCAACGAGGGGAACTCAAGTTTCTTGACATGGGAATCAAGCCCTTCTCTCACGCACAAGCGATGGCAAGAGGATCAGGGGAGATAGATCTGACACAGGGAACTTGATGCCTTTCCTTGACCAGCTCCTCACCTACAAGATCACAGCCTTACAACACTAGGCACCAAAGAGGAAGAAAGCTTAGTGTTGGAGGGCTCATCACACCTATCTTGTGTGCTGCTGGAGTGAACCCAACTGATAGAGAGCTACTGAACCAGGTTGGATGGACATCAAGTTTTGCAAGACCAACCTCCTCATTGAGCACAAGGAGTTGGATGGGAGGTTCCAATTCAAGTTCACACATCCATTGGCTGGACCCTCCAAGCTTCTCCTGCCCAACCCTGAGCTCACCACAGTTGTAGGGGTGAGAACATTGACTTCAGACCCCCTGTGTACACATTAGTTGGGCATGAGGATGATTGCGAGAAGAGGAGCCTGAGCTCGATCGAGCTGAGGATCGAGCTGAGGATCGAGCTGAAATCAGGTCCAGGAGAGCGGATTTGGGTGAGCCTGAGTGCTACTACTTTGAGGAGTATGAGGCTCCAAGGATGAACCCCTCTGTTGTGGCTGCCCACAAGAGGATTGGACTTCTCCAAAAGTTCAACAAATGGCAAGGGAAAGCCATGAGAAGATGCAAAAGTCCATGGACAAGATGGTGAGCAAGATCAAGAGTTTGGAGAAGAAGGTTTCTGGTTCTTCAAGCAAGAAGAAGTCCAAGGCCCCACTTTCCCTAGGAGTAGATCACTCCTCACCACCCAAGGAGGCTCCCTGCCCAAGAGCCTCACAGAGCCTCTTCTTTCGAGCCAAGGGAAGGAGAGACAACACGCAGAGAAGGAGGAAGAGTTCCAAGGCCAGACGCTCCAGCTCGACCACCGGACTCGATCGAGTCCAAACAGAGGAAACTCAACTCGATCGAGCTGACGGTCGAGTTGACCTGGAGGAGCCCAGTTTGAGAACCCTGGGATTCGAGTACGATCAACCCAGTACCAGGACTTCTCTCAGAGCTGGACCCCTACAACCGCTTCGAGCGAGCACAGCTCCACCAAGGCCAAGGAAGCCACACCACTTTGAAGATGAAGAAGAAGAGGAGAGGAGCCACAAGCTCGATCGAGTGAGCCGAACCCAGTTGAGTGGAGTGCTCCTGATGGCCGTCTACCATCTCCAGACCACGACCTAGCCTCCCAGTTCTTTGGGGGGCACTGAGGTATCCAAACACCAACCCTTGTATATACCATTTCATATTTTCTTTCTTTGTTCTTGTTTTTTCTTGGTTTTGCCCTCTTGAATCTTTCACTAAATTTTTCTCACACAAGGGACTGTGTGATTTAAGTTTGGGGGAGGGTTCAAGAGATGATTTAACCTTGTTTTCTTTGTTCTTAGTTTTTCATTTATCTTTTGCATAGAAAAACCAAAAAAATCATAAAATTTTCAAAAAATCCAAAAATATTTTCATCTTTTTGCATTCATATTTGTTAGACTTGTTTAGGATTGCATTTTTCACTTGCATTGTTGATTTGACTTTGAAAACTTGTCCATCTTTTGCGATTTCTTGAGTGCCCTGTTTTTAGATTCTTTTGTGCATTAGGGTGAGATTGATTGAGCAGCAAGAACCATGTTTATCTTGATCATATCACTGCATGCACATCTCATTCAACCATTGCTGTGATTTGATGCATTTCCCTATCTATTTGAACCATAACTTGATCTTTAATTACCAATGCTTGCATTTGATTTCAACTCATGGCTACCACATACATATCTGGACATTCTTTACCTTTTCATATCCCTTTGCTTGTCCAGATAGCTGATCTCTATCTTTGAGACAGTTACCACACCTTAAACCTAAGCCTTTTCATTTCAAACCCCTTATTATCTCTTGTGCGAATGTGAGAACCTTTCTTGGCTTTGCTTAGCATAAGGTGTTGTGTTTAAACCGGCAGGGGCAGTAGTTCTAGTTGTCTAGTTCTCTTGGGATTGTTTTCAGGCTAAGTTTGGGGGTGCCAACTCGAGCTCGATCGAGTTGGGTGTAAAAACCAGAAAAGTGGTAAAAGTTGGGAAAAACCCAAAGGAAAAAGAGTTTAGTTAAGTCCAGGGAGTTGGCAGTGTTTAAAAAGGGTCTAGTAAAGGTTTGGGAAGTTAAAAAAGGAAAGTAAAAAGGGTTCTAAGTAGAATGAAAAGAAGGCAAAGCCTCAAGTGTCAAAAAGGAAAGAAAAGTTCCCTAAGTGTTTAGAAAATCCCAAACCGCTAGATGTTACCTCAAGAAGCCTCTCCCTAGGAAGTTCTTAAAAGAAAAGTGAGCAAAGCTCCTCAGTTTCAAAGGCGAAATGCCAAAAAGGGTAGTTAGGATTTTGTTCTAAAAAGCTCTAAGTGTTGAACTCGATCGAGTTAGGATTAGGCGGCTCGAGCTGCTGTTCTTGCATCATCTTTGGTTCTAACACTTAGCCTTCTGCCAAAGCAAAGCCACTTTCTTGAGAGATCCCTGTTACTAAACCACCATACAAAAGAGACCCTCTTTGTCTCTTAACCCATAAACCCTTGAAACCAAATGAGTTGATTGATCTTGCATGTTTTTGGTTCACTGTTTTTGCTTAATGAATGTTAAAGGGATTTGCTGATTTGAATGCATTGTTTGAGTGACTGTGAAGTGGGATTGATGTTGATAAGCATGGTTAAATCTTAATGAATATCTCTCACCTTGTTGCATTCTAGAATCTCTAAGTTGGACATTTAGCAAATCGCTTTTGAGGACATGTTTTTAAGTGTTGAATCAGCTTTTTCAAACCTCATCTCTTTCTTGTTCTATTTGTTTGCTTGAGGGCAAGCAAAGTTCAAGTTTGGGGGTGTTGATGTACTTGCATTTTACATAGTTTTAGCACATCTTTTATGCATCTTTTGCATAGTTTTAGCTTCCATTTGCATCATATCTTGTTCCTTTTCTCTTCTTATGCATTCATGTTAGTTTTAGGTTGCATTTGCATACATATGCATGTTTGGTCCTTTGAAATAGGTCTTTTGGAGCATTCTGGAGCATATGGGACATGAGGAGCATGGAGGGACTTGGCACATGGAAGCAGCTCAACTGGACACGCAAAGGAAGAAGGGAGAAGCCATCTTGAAGACCAGCTCGACCGTCCACTCGACCAACCGGTCGAGTTCCTCAACTCGACCGGCCAAGCTTCAACTCGATCGAGCTGAGAAGTCAAAGTCAAACCCGAAAAATGTTGCTTCCCCCTTGACTTTCCTTTGACCCTAAACCTAATCCTCTTGTATTTAAAGGCTCTAAGCCACGAAAAAACCACCAAGCTTTAGATTATTTTGTTTTAGTTTCTTTTTTTATTGTCTTTTACTTTTTAGAGATCTAATCCCATCTTTGTGTTCTTGAAGCTCTTGCTTCTTGAATCCTAGATCCTGGATAATCTCTTTGTATTTGCACTTGCTTATTTCAATAAAAGTTGTTTAATTTCATCTCCTCTTTCTTATGATGTCTCTTTTATTGCATTTGCTTGTGTTTACATTCATGTGTAGTGAGTAGTTACCCATTAGGGTTTGAGATGGGATAGATTAGAGGTTTCATATGCTTAATCCTTCTAGCTTATGGTCTTAATCTAGATTCTCTCTCTTTTGGATAGATCTTAAGGCTACATGACCACTACCCCTGGCTTGTAAGTCCTTAGGCGATTCCCCACACGGAAGTGATGGCATTCGCTGGAAAAGATCCACTAAGAGCTCCAATATCTCTTGCTCTAGACAATAGAGGTCTAAGGGGTTGGATGGATTAGTTTGGGCAATGATCCTATGGCCTCCAAGGTTTGATTCTCACTGGCTAACCCCCTGTTTCTGAGATCATTCCTTGGTTGATAGCCTCCACCTTGGGAAAGGGTTGGCTAGGCATTGAGAAGCCCAATATCAAGAGAAGCCTTGATACAAGGAGTTTTAAGAGCTAGATTGATTAAGTGTAGATTCCTTTGATTGCAAAACCCTGTCTTGAACCCTAATTCTCTTTATCTTGTTAAAGTCGTCACCTTTAGCTTTGTTTTCTCAACTCGTCCCTAAACTCGATCGAGCTGGTACTTTGTTCCACTCGACTCGAGTCTTGGTCGAGCTGACTTCACTGCTTTGTTTACTTTTATTGCACTGCATTTCATTTTTAGGTTGTTAGTGTTACTTCAAATCTATAACTGCTTGCTTGACTTTCTGGTTGTTTCATATTCTCATAGAGTGACAAGTTTCCCATTTTGGATTGATAACCTCTTATACTTCAATGACTATGATGGTTAAGAGGAATTGTTGACTGTGTTTGTGTTTGCATCTTACCACCTCATTTACCACTGATTGCATTCCACTCATCTCATTTCATATCTTTTCACACACACAAATCCTATCATCACTCGGTCATAGAATCTCGGAGAGAGGCATTGAGGTTGACAAAGCCAAGATCGAGGTAATGGTGAACTTGGAACCGCCCAAGAACGTAAAAGGAGTGAGAAGCTTCCTCGGGCACGCGGGCTTTTATAGGAGGTTCATAAAAGTCTTCTCCAAGATAGCGTGCCCTCTCACTCAGTTACTTTGCAAAGAAGTGGCGTTTGAATTCAATGGAGAATGCCTCGCGGCGTTCAAGAAAATCAAAGAGGCTCTCATTAGCGCGCCGATCGTACAATCACCGGATTGGGAACTTCCTTTTGAGATTATGTGCGACGCAAGCGACTACGCCGTTGGAGCTGTGCTAGGCCAAAGGAAAGAGAAGAAACTCCACGTCATATACTATGCAAGCCGGACCCTCGACGAGGCACAATGCAACTATGCCACCACGGAGAAGGAGTTATTAGCGATTGTATTTGCATTCGAGAAGTTTCGCTCTTATCTTGTTGGCTCGAAACTTACAGTGCATACCGATCATGCGGCTCTCAAGTATCTGCTGTCAAAGAAAGATGCAAAGCCAAGACTTATACGGTGGATACTTCTTTTGCAAGAATTTGACCTAAAGATCGTTGATAGGAAAGGCGCGGAGAATGGCATTGCCGACCATCTGTCAAGAATGAGAATCGAAGAGAGCATACCTATAGATGACCCGTTACCAGAGGAAACGGTCTATGCAGTCAGTGCAGTACCTATATCGAGAGAGGAGACCACACCAAGAGCCACCACGGAGAGGAGAATTGCCTTTGGCGCAACTTGGTATCGTCACATAGCTAACTACCTCGCGGCCGACATAGAACCTCCGCACTTCTATGGATACAAGAAGAAGAAATTCCTCAAGGACATCAGATTTTACTTCTGGGACGAGCCATACCTCTACAAGAAGTGCCAAGACGGATTGTTTAGAAAATGCGTGCCGGAGGAAGAGATAGCCGGGATTCTGCATGGATGTCACGAATCAGCTTACGCAGGTCATTTTCCCACGTTCAAGACAGTCTCTAAGGTCTTGCAAGCGGGTTTTTGGTGGCCTACAATGTTTAAAGACGCTCAAGCATTCATCTCACGTTGTGATGCTTGCCAAAGAATGGGGAACATAAGCAAAAGGAATGAAATGCCGCAAAACTTTATCTTGGAAGTTGAGGTATTCGATGTTTGGGGAATTGATTTCATGGGACCCTTCCCCACATCCTTTGGAGATCAATACATACTAGTAGCAGTGGACTATGTCTCCAAATGGGTTGAAGCGCTAGCCGCTCCAACAAATGACTCAAGGGTGGTGATCAAAATGTTCAAATCGATCATATTCCCAAGATTTGGAGTTCCAAGAGTTGTGATAAGTGACGGAGGCTCACACTTCATCAATCGGATCTTTGCAAACCTTCTAAAGAAATATGGAGTGCGGCACAAGGTAGCGAGACCCTATCATCCACAAACTAGCGGCCAAGTGGAGATTTCAAACAGGGAATTGAAGAGCATCCTACAAAAGACAAGTGGGAAGAATAGAAAAGATTGGTCGGCCAAGCTAGACGACGCTCTTTGGGCATATAGGACTGCTTTCAAGACATCTCTCAGGACAACTCCATTTCATCTCGTCTATGGCAAAGTGTGCCATCTACCGGTGGAACTAGAGTACAAGGCAGTGATGTACTTGCATTTTACATAGTTTTAGCACATCTTTTATGCATCTTTTGCATAGTTTTAGCTTCCATTTGCATCATATCTTGTTCCTTTTCTCTTCTTATGCATTCATGTTAGTTTTAGGTTGCATTTGCATACATATGCATGTTTGGTCCTTTGAAATAGGTCTTTTGGAGCATTCTGGAGCATATGGGACACAAGGAGCATGGAGGGACTTGGCACATGGAAGCAGCTCAACTGGATACGCAAAGGAAGAAGGGAGAAGCCATCTTGAAGACCAGCTCGACCGTCCACTCGACCAACCGGTCGAGTTCCTCAACTCGACCGGCCAAGCTTCAACTCGATCGAGCTGGAGTCAAAGTCAAACCCGAAAAATGTTGCTTCCCCCTTGACTTTCCTTTGACCCTAAACCTAATCCTCTTTGTATTTAAAGGCTCTAAGCCACGAAAAAACCACCAAGCTTTAGATTATTTTGTTTTAGTTTCTTTTAATTTATTGTCTTTTACTTTTTAGAGATCTAATCCCATCTTTGTGTTCTTGAAGCTCTTGCTTCTTGAATCCTAGATCCTGGATAATCTCTCTTGTATTTGCACTTGCTTATTTCAATAAAAGTTGTTTAATTTCATCTCCTCTTTCTTATGATGTCTCTTTTATTGCATTTGCTTGTGTTTACATTCATGTGTAGTGAGTAGTTACCCATTGGGGTTTGAGATGGGATAGATTAGAGGTTTCATATGCTTAATCCTTCTAGCTTATGGTCTTAATCTAGATTCTCTCTCTTTTGGATAGATCTTAAGGCTACATGACCACTACCCCTGGCTTGTAAGTCCTTAGGCGACTCCCCACACGAAAGTGATGGCATTCGCTGGAAAAGATCCACTAAGAGCTCCAATATCTCTTGCTCTAGACAATAGAGGTCTAAGGGGTTGGATGGATTAGTTTGGGCAATGATCCTATAGCCTCCAAGGTTTGATTCTCACTGGCTAACCCCCTGTTTCTGAGATCATTCCTTGGTTGATAGCCTCACCTTGGGAAAGGGTTGGCTAGGCATTGAGAAGCCCAATATCAAGAGAAGCCTTGATACAAGGAGTTTTAAGAGCTAGATTGATTAAGTGTAGATTCCTTTGATTGCAAAACCCTGTCTTGAACCCTAATTCTCTCTTTATCTTGTTAAAGTCGTCACCTTTAGCTTTGTTTGTCTCAACTCGTCCCTAAACTCGATCGAGCTGGTACTTTGCTCTGACTCGACTCGAGCTCTTGGTCGAGCTGATACTTCACTGCTTTCTTTACTTTTATTGCACTGTTTTCTATAACTGCTTGCTTGACTTCTGGTTGTTTCATATTCTCAAGAGTGACAAGTTTCCCATTTTGGATTGATAACCCTTTGTACTACATGACTATCATGGTTAAAGGGAATTGTTGACTGTGTTTGTGTTTGCATCTTACCACCTCATCATATACCACTGATTGCATTCCACCTCATCTCATTTCATATCTTTTCACATCCACACACAAATCCTATCATCAATTTGGCGCCGTTGCCGATTTGGGAATATTTTTGTTGCATTTGAGTTTCAAACACACTTGGACGATCAAGCTATACCACCCCTGTTCTATTGTACTGCTGGGTTTTTGTCTCTTTTTGCAGGTGTATGCGAACTCGATCGAGTCGGTCAACTGAAGACTTGGTCGAGCTAGACATTACAACGGGTAGAAAGAGGGTTCAGAGGTCACAGAGGGTACAAGAGGAACCTGAGGTGCTTGTTGCTGATACAATGGATGTACCAGAGGGGAATGGAAACCCTTTGGGTAATGGACTCGGTCGAGCTAGGCAAACTCGACCGATTGGTCAAGGAGATGCTCCAAACCGCCACCAACAGAGACAAGGGATTGTTCCACCACCAGTGCAGAACCACAACTTTGAGATCAAGCTGGGAATGATCAACCTTGTCCAGAACAAGATGTTCCATGGATTGCCAAGTGAAGACCCCATTGACCACCTTGATGAGTTTGATAGGCTTTGTGATTTGACAAAGATCAATGGTGTCTCTGAAGATGCCATCAAGCTGAGACTCTTTCCTATGTCTCTAGCTGACAAAGCTCACCAATGGGAGAAGAGCTTGCCCCATGGCACAATCACCACTTGGGATGAATGCAAGAAGGCCTTTCTTGCTAAGTTTTTCTCCACCGGTCGCACAGCCAAGCTTAGAGGAGAGATATCCAGCTTCATCCAGCGAAACAATGAGACATTCGCAGAGGCTTGGGAGAGGTTCAAAGGCTACACAAGTCAGTGCCCACACCATGGATTCAACAATGAATCACTACTCTCCACTCTTTATAGAGGATGCTTGCCTAGGTATAGGGAGATGCTAGACACAGCTAGCAATGGGAACTTCCTCAACCAGGATGTAGATGATGGCTGGCAACTTGTGGAGAACATGGCCATATCAACAGAATGCTATGGAGAGCATATGAAAGTACAGATGGAGCTCGACCGCGCACTCGATCGAGCTGGAGCTCAGATGAGAAAGACATGCTTGCACTCAACTCGAAGTTGGACAAACTGATCCTAGCCAATTCCCTGCCAAGCATGTCAACTATGTCTCAGAACAAACCTTAGTCAAGGACCAGGAAGGGGAGGAGCAACACAAGAGGTTTGCTACATTCAAAATAGACAAGGAAGCTATAGGAATCCTCAACAAGGGCGATACAACAATTATCAAGCCCCCTGGCCGCACCTACAACAAGTGTTCCACAAGGCTTCAACACAAGGACTACTCATACCCAACCAACTCATGATTGGGATATGAAGGAAATGCTCCAACAACTTTTACAAGGGCAAGCCAAAGGTTCTCTGGAAATGAACAACAAGCTGGTTGAGATACACTCTAAACTAGAGTCATTGACTTCAAGAGTCCAAATCATTGAGTCTTCAAGTGCATCATCCTCTTCACCACAAGAGTATGCCCAAGCAGTTACACTAAGAAGTGGAGCAATTCCCGAGTAGAGGTAGCCCACCCCAAATCGCTGTGGACATCGATGACGAGGAAGGGGAGGATTTAGTCGACTATGCTGATAACTCGACCCGAACTCGATCGAGCTGGAACAAAACCCTGAACCAGAACTCGATCGAGCTGAAGAAACTGAGACACTGCAAGACAAACCAGAGCTCGATCGAGCCAGAAGAGAGCAGACAAAGCAAACTCCAGCCAACCAGCTAAACCTGTTGCAAAGAAGAAAGACACTCCAGCAGGACCACCACCATACAAGCCCCCTCTGCCCTTTCCAGGAAGGTTCAAGAAACAACTGTTGGAAGCACACAAGGCCAAGTTTGATGAACTAATGAGACAGCTTGAGCTGAAGTTGCCCTTCATCGATGCCTTGATGCTCATTCCACCTTATCAGAAATTTCTGAAGGATGCTGTTCAGCAAAGAACCAGGGAAGCACAAGGGATGGTAGTGTTGACTCGCGAGTGCAGTGCAATCATTCAGCGGAAGGTCATCTCCGACAAAAAGGAAGATCCGGGGAGTTTCACTTTGCCCTGCATGTTAGGACCCCTATCTTTCAAAAACAGTCTCTGCGATCTAGGATCATCGTCAGCCTCATGCCTTTGTCTGTAGCAAAGAGACTGGGATATCACAAGTACCAAGCCTGCGGAATCTCACTAGTCTTGGCAGATAGATCGATAAGGTTACCAACTGGGATGCTTGAAGACCTGCCTTTGAGGATAGGGAATGTGGAGAAATCCCCACAGACTTCATTGTGCTTGAGATGGATGAGGAACCAACAGATCCATTGATTCTAGGAAGGCCATTCCTAGCTACAGCAAGAGCAATGATAGATGTCTGTGAAGGAACAATTGAGTTAAACTTGGGAAAGGACCTAAGATGAAGTTTGATATAAAGATACAATGAGGAAACCAACTATAGAAGGTCAGCTCTTTTATGTTGAGGAAATGGATCAGTTGGCAGATGAGCTTCTAGAAGAGTTATCAACAGAGGATCCACTACAAGTTGCTTTGACCAAGGATTCTTCAGAAGGATATGTGAGCTCAGAAACGATGAGTACAAGAAGCTCCTTGACACCTTCAGACCAGTTCCAAACATTCTGAGCATTGAGGGGATTGGACAGGCCAGTTTGCGAAGTCATGGCAGTGAGCTCGATCAAGAACTCGATCGAGTCGAGTTTCGAACAAACGAACTCGATCGAGCTGGGGACTGAGAGCAAGGAGCAAGCTCAAGGAGATTGGTCTGAGCTTCAAGGCGCCTAAAGTCGACCTCAAACCTTTGCCTGAGGGCCTCAGGTATGCATTTCTGGGTGAAAACTCAACTTACCCTGTCATTGTGAACTCTGATTTGGAACCTGAACAGTTGAGTGCTTGCTTGTTGAATTGAGAAAGTACAGAAAGCAATAGGTTACACTCTAGATGATATCAAGGGGATCTCCCCTGACCTATGCATCCATAGGATTCATCTAGAGGATGAAAGTAAGTCTAGCATTGAACCTCAAAGAAGATTGAACCCCAATCTAAAGGAAGTAGTGAAGAAAGAGATACTCAAGTTGCTTGATGCTGGGATAATCTATCCCATCAGTGATAGCACTTGGATATCTCCAGTTCATTGCGTCCCAAAGAAAGGGGGGATCACTGTCATTAAAAACGACAAAGAGGAGCTGATTCCCACTAGAACAATAGTGGGGCATCGCATGTGTATTGACTATAGGAAGCTAAATTCAGCATCTAGAAAGGATCATTTCCCTCTCCCTTTCATTGATCAGATGTTAGAAAGATTGGCAAACCACCCCTTTTATTGTTTTCTTGATGGCTACAGTGGTTTCTTCCAAATCCCGATCCACCCTAATGATCAGGAGAAGACCACTTTCACATGCCCTTATGGCACCTTTGCTTATCGAAGGATGCCATTTGGGCTGTGCAATGCTCCAGCTACTTTCCAGAGGTGCATGACCTCCATTTTTTCAGATCTGATAGAGGAGATGGTAGAAGTCTTCATGGACGATTTCTCAGTCTATGGAGCATCCTTCTCCTCATGTTTGTCTAACTTGTGCAGGGTGTTGCAGAGGTGTGAGGAGACCAATCTAGTACTCAACTGGGAGAAGTGCCACTTCATGGTTCGAGAAGGGATTGTGCTTGGACACAAGATTTCCGAGAAAGGGATCGAGCTCGATCGAGCTAAGGTGGATGTCATGTTGCAGCTCCCTGTTCCCAAGACTGTGAAGGACATAAGGAGTTTTCTGGGTCACGCAGGGTTCTACAGAAGATTCATCAAGGACTTCTCAAAGATAGCAAGACCCTTGACAAGGCTTCTATGCAAGGAGACAGATTTTGAGTTTGATGAAGAATGCCACAAGTCTTGGACCTTGCTGAAGGATGCTCTGGTGTCTGCGCCAATAGTCAAGCTCCAAACTGGGATCACCCATTTGAGATTATGTGTGATGCATCTGACTATGCAGTAGGAGCAGTGCTTGGCCAAAAGATAGACAAGAAACTCAATGTCATCTACTATGCAAGCAAGACTATGGATGATGCTCAATGCAAGTATGCAACCACAGAGAAGGAGCTCCTTGCCATAGTCTTTGCCTTTGAGAAGTTTCGAAGCTATATAGTTGGGTCCAAGGTGATTGTGCACACTGACCATGCTGCCCTTAGGCACATCTTCGCTAAAAAGATACAAAGCCAAGACTTCTCAGATGGATCCTTTTGCTTCAAGAGTTTGACATAGAAGTTGTGGACAAAAAGGGAGTAGAGAATGGAGTTGCTGATCATCTCTCTAGGATGCGAGTTGAAGACATGATCCCCATCAATGATTCTATGCCTGAAGAACAGCTTATGGCAATCATGATCTTGAAGGAGAGTTTTGATGAGAAAGCCAGGCTGGAAGAAGTTAAGGCTCTGCGTGATGAGAATTTGCCATGGTATGCTGATATAGTGAACTTCATGGTGTCCGGAGAAGTCCCTAGTAGCTTTGATGCTTACAAAGAAAGAAATTCTTCAAGGATGCTAGGCATTACTATTGGGATGAGCCCTACCTGTACAAGAGAGGACCAGACAGCATTTACAGGAGATGCATAGCTGAAGAGGATGTGCAAGGAGTTCTAGAGCATTGCCATGGGTCAGTTTATGGAGGTCACTTTGCTACATTCAAAACAGCAACTAAGGTTTTGCAATCGGGTTTATGGTGGCCTACTTTGTTTAAGGATGCAGCAGACTACATTGCCAAGTGTGATCCATGCCAAAGGAAAGGAGGGATCACCAAGAGGGACGAGATGCCACTAAACCCAATTCTACCTGTACAAGAGAGGACCAGACAGCATTTACAGGAGGTGCATTGCTGAAGAGGATGTGCAAGGAGTTCTAGAGCATTGCCATGGGTCAGTTTATGGAGGTCACTTTGCTACATTCAAAACAGCAACTAAGGTTTTGCAATCGGGTTTATGGTGGCCTACTTTGTTTAAGGATGCAGCAGACTACATTGCCAAGTGTGATCCGTGCCAAAGGAAAGGAGGGATCACCAAGACGGACGAGATGCCACTAAACCCAATTCTACCTGTACAAGAGAGGACCAGACAACATTTACAGGAGGTGCATTGCTGAAGAGGATGTGCAAGGAGTTCTAGAGCATTGCCATGGGTCAGTTTATGGAGGTCACTTTGCTACATTCAAAACAGCAACTAAGGTTTTGCAATCGGGTTTATGGTGGCCTACTTTGTTTAAGGATGCAGCAGACTACATTGCCAAGTGTGATCCGTGCCAAAGGAAAGGAGGGATCACCAAGACGGACGAGATGCCACTAAACCCAATTCTACCTGTACAAGATTAACCATTTATTCAACATTTACATTTATGCATTGCTGAAGAGGATGTGCAAGGAGTTCTAGAGCATTGCCATGGGTCAGTTTATGGAGGTCACTTTGCTACATTCAAAACAGCAACTAAGGTTTTGCAATCGGGTTTATGGTGGCCTACTTTGTTTAAGGATGCAGCAGACTACATTGCCAAGTGTGATCCGTGCCAAAGGAAAGGAGGGATCACCAAGAGGACGAGATGCCACTAAACCCAATTCTAGAGGTTGAGATTTTTGATGTATGGGGAATAGACTTCATGGGACCTTTCAAACCCTCTTCAAACGGGCACAACTACATTTTGGTTGCTGTAGACTATTGTATCCAAATGGTTGAAGCCATTCCCTGCCCAACTTGTGACGCCAAGGTGGTTGTCAAGCTTTTCAGAACAATCATCTTTCCAAGGTTCGGCATCCCGAGGGTTGTTATTTCAGATGGAGGCTCCCATTTCATCAACAAGGTGTTTGAAAAGTTGATGAGAAGCCACGGAGTAAAACACAAGGTCGCCACGCCTTATCACCCTCAGACCAGTGGGCAAGTTGAAGTCTCCAACAGACAGATCAAGGCCATATTGGAGAAGACTGTAAGCTTCACTAGGAAAGACTGGGCAGCAAGGCTTGATGAGGCACTTTGGGCTTACAGGACAGCCTACAAAACCCCCATTGGAAGGTCTCCTTTCAATTTGCTGTATGGGAAGGACTGCCACTTACCTGTGGAGGTCGAATATAAGGCTTTATGGGCAGTAAAGATGCTGAACTTTGATATAAAGGCAGCACAAGAAAGGAGGGTAATGAACTTGTTTGAGCTGGAGGAGATAAGAATGAATGCCTATGAGAACTCTAGGATTTACAAGATGAGAACCAAGGCAGCCCACGACAAACTGATTCGCCTTAAGGATTTCAAGGTTGGGGACAGTGTGCTCTTGTATAACTCCAAGCTAAGGTTGTTTCTCGGGAAGCTGAGGTCAAAGTGGGCGGGACCATTCAAGATTCACGAAGTTCTACCCTATGGGTCCCTCACTTTGACCAGACAGCATTTACAGGAGATGCATTGCTGAAGAGGATGTGCAAGGAGTTCTAGAGCATTGCCATGGGTCAGTTATGGAGGTCACTTTGCTACATTCAAAACAGCAACTAAGGTTTTGCAATCTGGGTTTATGGTGGCCTACTTTGTTTAAGGATGCAGCAGACTACATTGCCAAGTGTGATCCGTGCCAAAGGAAAGGAGGGATCACCAAGAGGGACGAGATGCCACTAAACCCAATTCTAGAGGTTGAGATCTTTGATGTATGGGGAATAGACTTCATGGGACCTTTCAAACCTTCTTCAAACGGGCACAACTACATTTTGGTTGCTGTAGACTATGTATCCAAATGGATTGAAGCCATTCCCTGCCCAACCTGTGACGCCAAGGTGGTTGTCAAGCTTTTCAGAACCATCATCTTTCCAAGGTTCGGCATCCCAAGGGTTGTTATTTCGGATGGAGGCTCCCATTTCATCAACAAGGTGTTTGAAAAGTTGATGAGAAGCCATGGAGTCAAACACAAGGTCGCCACACCTTATCACCCTCAAACCAGTGGGCAAGTTGAAGTCTCCAACAGACAGATCAAGGCCATATTGAGAAGACTGTGAGCTTCACTAGGAAAGACTGGGCAGCAAGGCTTGATGAGGCACTTTGGGCTTATAGAACAGCCTACAAAACCCCCATTGGAAGGTCTCCTTTCAATTTGCTGTATGGGAAGGACTGCCACTTACCTGTGGAGGTCGAATATAAGGCTTTATGGGCAGTAAAGATGCTGAACTTTGATATAAAGGCAGCACAAGAAAGGAGGGTAATGAACTTGTTTGAGCTGGAGGAGATAAGAATGAATGCCTATGAGAACTCTAGGATTTACAAGATGAGAACCAAGGCAGCCCACGACAAACTGATTCGCCTTAAGGACTTCAAGGTTGGGGACAGTGTGCTCTTGTATAACTCCAAGCTAAGGTTGTTTCCCGGGAAGCTGAGGTCAAAGTGGGCGGGACCATTCAAGATTCACGAAGTTTACCCTATGGGTCCCTCACTTTACTCAATCAAGAGGGGAAGGAATTCACAGTGAATGGACATAGATGCAAGCCATATCTAGGAATGACCCCCACAGAGGAGATCATCACTCCTCTAGAAGATCCAACCCCGGCCTAAAAGGGGTAAGGTCAAGCTAAGAGACCTAAAACAAGCTCACTTGGGAGGAATTCCCATGTCTATCTTATGTATTTATACTTTATCCTTTTATTTTCATGATTTTTCTTGGCTGAGTCTCACAGGAGCAGGTTTTAGGAAGAAGAGTGGCTAACTCGAGGCACAACTCGATCGAGTCAAGAGCAAGCTCGATCGAGTGAGCCGAACATAGTTGCAGTGGAGCGCTCCTGATGGCCGTCTACCATCTCCAGACCACGACCTAGTCTCCCAGTTCTTTGGGGGACACTGAGGTATCCAAACACCAACCCTTGTATATACCATTTCATATTTTCTTGCATTTGTTCTTGTTTTTTCTTGGTTTTGCCCTCTTGAATCTTTCACTAAATTTTTCTCACACAAGGGACTGTGTGATTTAAGTTTGGGGGAGGGTTCAAGAGATGATTTAACCTTGTTTTCTTTGTTCTTAGTTTTTCATTTATCTTTTGCATAGAAAAACCAAAAAAATCATAAAATTTTCAAAAAATCCAAAAATATTTTCATCTTTTTGCATTCATATTTGTTAGACTTGTTTAGGATTGCATTTTTCACTTGCATTGTTGATTTGACTTTGAAAACTTGTCCATCTTTTGCGATTTCTTGAGTGCCCTGTTTTTAGATTCTCTTGTGCATTAGGGTGAGATTGATTGAGCAGCAAGAACCATGTTTATCTTGATCATATCACTGCATGCACATCTCATTCAACCATTGCTGTGATTTGATGCATTTCCCTATCTATTTGAACCATAACTTGATCTTTAATTACCAATGCTTGCATTTGATTTCAACTCATGGCTACCACATACATATCTGGACATTCTTTATCACTTTTCATATCCCTTTTGCTTGTCCAGATAGCTGATCTCCATCTTTGAGACAGTTACCCACCTTAAACCTAAGCCTTTTTCATTTCAAACCCCATATTATCTCTTGTGCGAATGTGAGAACCTTTCTTGGCTTTGCTTAGCATAAGGTGTTGTGTTTAAACCGGCAGGGGCAGTAGTTCTAGTTGTCTAGTTCTCTTGGGATTGTTTTCAGGCTAAGTTTGGGGGTGCCAACTCGAGCTCGATCGAGTTGGGTGTAAAAACCAGAAAAGTGGTAAAAGTTGGGAAAAACCCAAAGGAAAAAGAGTTTGGTTAAGTCCAGGGAGTTGGCAGTGTTAAAAGGGTCTAGTAAAGGTTTGGGAAGTTAAAAAAAAAGGGTTCTAAGTAGAATGAAAAGAAGGCAAAGCCTCAAGTGTCCAAAAAGGAAAGAAAAGTTCCCTAAGTGTTTAGAAAATCCCAAACCGCTAGATGTTACCTCAAGAAGCCTCTCCCTAGGATGTTCTTAAAAGAAAAGTGAGCAAAGCTCCTCAGTTTCAAAGGCGAAATGCCAAAAAGGGTAGTTAGGATTTTGTTCTAAAAAGCTCTAAGTGTTGAACTCGATCGAGTTAGGATTAGGGGCTCGAGCTGCTGTTCTTGCATCATCTTTGGTTCTAACACTTAGCCTTCTGCCAAAGCAAAGCCACTTTCTTGAGAGATCCCTGTTACTAAACCACCATACAAAAGAGACCCTCTTTGTCTCTTAACCCATAAACCCTTGAAACCAAATGAGTTGATTGATCTTGCATGTTTTTGGTTCACTGTTTTTGCTTAATGAATGTTAAAGGGATTTGCTGATTTGAATGCACTGTTTGAGTGACTGTGAAGTGGGATTGATGTTGATAAGCATGGTTAAATCTTAATGAATATCTCTCACCTTGTTGCATTCTAGAATCTCTAAGTTGGACATTTAGCAAATCGCTTTTGAGGACATGTTTTTAAGTGTTGAATCAGCTTTTTTCAAACCTCATCCCTTCTTGTTCTATTTGTTTGCTTGAGGGCAAGCAAAGTTCAAGTTTGGGGGTGAAGTGTGGTTACTGATCAGGTCCTCATTGTTGTTTTAAATTTACTCTCTGAACAGGCTGATGAAGTTGCATGTCTTTTGCCATCTTCACCGACTGGAAATCAGCATGGCCCAGCAGCAACCATTGAGGGACAAAATATCAACACATCAGCTGAGCTCCACATAGCTGGTCTAGGTGCAGTAGAGATTGGTGATTCCGCAGTATCAAATCAGGTACTTATTACCTTTAGCTGTTAAAAAAAGGTTTGAAAACTTTGTAATGCTCGTTCTGGATTTCCTGCAGGAAAGAACGGGTGCTCAGGATGCATGCTCTCTGCTATCTTCGTTGGTTGGAACTCAGGCTGACCTAGCAGCAAACACTGAGGGCCAAAATATTACAAGAGTGACTCAGCTTCACACAGCTGGATCAGATGCAGTAGAAATTGGTGGTTCTGCTGTTTCAGATCAGGTACCTGACTCTGATTAAAGACTTTTCTCTTTTGTTGGTTTGAAGTTCGAGTCCTTGTAATGTTCGTTGTCAACTTACTGCAAGAAACAGAGCAGATAGTGGGTATTGATCAGATGTTGTTTTCGCTTGTAAATTTTACTTTTTGGATAGGCTGCTGTGGATGCATCTCATGTGCCATTTTCTTCGCCTGGAAATCCAACAACTGAATCAGATGCATGTGAAATGGAAATAGCAGAACCTGGCCGCCAAGTAGAGCAGTCAACCTTTGCAAGTCAGTAACTAGTCTTGTGCATTTTAGTACGACAACCGTAAGTGTTTGCCAAACTGCTGACTGTCTGATGCCTTTTGTGTAGACAACGTTGCGCAGCTTGTCCGTATAGGTGGTGTGGAGCCTTCAGCAAGTGTTACAGCTCCTGTTCCATCACTCCTTAACAATGGTGCAGGACAGAGTGCCGTTCAACCTGTTCCTCAAGTACCTTTCCCTCAGTTCACTGACCCATTTCAGTATGAATTGGAGAAGTTGCGGAGAGAATCAGAGAACGTAAATAAGACCTTTGAAGAAAAAGTTAGTTGTCCTCAATACCCATTTACCTTTGGTTTTTGTTTTTTTTTTTTGGTTTTCTCACTGGTTCATGACCCTTGATTGTTTGTGAGCAGACATCAATCTTGAGAGCTGAGCTAGAGAGGAAGTTGGCTGAAGTACGAGCAGAGTATCAAAGAAAGTTTCATGAGGTAGAAGTTGAGAAGAACGCCAGAGAGACGGAGGTAGAGAGGACCAAGAATATCGTTATAATGAACAAACTGTTGGGAAACGCCTTCTTGTCCAAATGTACCACCAAGATCGCATCTCATCCCTCAGAAGCTCCAAGGGGTAAGTGTCCGTATAATAGAGCAAAACTGGTTTCAGATTTAAGGTCATGACTCATGACAGCAACTTTTTCCAGCAGGTAGAATTCAGCAGCTAGCACTGAGAGCAGGACTAGTGACCGCACTGAGGAATTATACTGCATCTCCTCCGGCTCCGACCCTGGCTCCTCCGGCTCATGTTCCTGCTGTTTCTCTGCCTCCAGCTCCTCTGCAGCGTCAGGCATCTGCTTTTCCTTCTTCAGTACCTCGCACATCAGGCCTTCCTCTTAATTCAGCGGTCTGCCCAATGCCTCAGCCAAGACAGCCTCTCGTCTCCAGCCCAGCTCCATCTTTTTCAGCTTCTCCTGCAACTAATCTAACTGAGAGTGCAAGACCACCGCATCTCAACTCATATAGATCATCCTCTTCGATTCCAATCCCGACATCAACTCCAACCTCGTTGCCAATTGCTCAAGCTTTGTCGTCGTATGCAACTCTCTTACTTCAGAGTCATCAACAACAACGACAACAGCACCAACAGAACTTGGGCATCGGATTGCAGCAACTGCAACAGAACTTGGGCCTCGGATTGCAACAACAGCAACAGCAACAGCACCAACACCAACAGAGCTTAGGGAGTGGATTGCAACAGAACTTGGGCGTCGGATTGCAACAACAGCAACAACAACAACACCAACAGAGCGTAGGGAGTGGATTGCAACAGAACTTGGGCATCGGATTGCAACAACAGCAGCAGCAACAACAACAACAACACCAACAGAGCTTAGGGAGTGGATTGCAACAACTGCAACAGAACTTGGGCAGCGGATTGCAAGGCCCCAATCGCAATGATGATGTGGTTTGTCTCTCAGACGACGAGTGATCTAATCTAATGTTTAGCGTATAATAATAGCTGACGTAGATTGTTAAATCTTATGTGTATGTATAAGATAATTGAAGTAAGTTTCTCGATAAATTGACCGAGTATGTTTTGAATGTGACTGACTATTGGAGTTGGGATTAATCAAATCCAGAGTCAGTGACCGACTCGGTTCGCTATGGTTTCTCCAAATACGTGACATTCTACTTTCAAGTTTCAAGTATTACAATTTTGGACAAGAGACACAAGTGGCTAAATTACGGATTAATATGCAGTTAACACTCTGGGATTGTAATGAAACGTGTTTATCTCCTTGTAATCTACTTATCTCTTTAGAGTGTTT